CCACTCTCAAAACATTGCTATCGAACATGCACGCGTGAGCTGATGCTTTGAAGCCAAAAATCGGAAGTTATCGCAGTTTCTGCTTTCCTTATCAAAGACAAAGATTGCTGGAAATCTGATCGGACACTTTCCGCTCTGTTCACAATGCTTGCGTTCTTGTGTACATTCCTTCTTTTGCTTCCCTCTCTATGCGCAGCTGAGCTCCTTGGACCACTTAGCGACGATTTTCAACAATGGTTAATCGCGTAAGATTTGTACTTAAAGGAACAGTTTAACTCGAGATAAATGCTGCGAAATTGTAGAAATGGCTATCAAAGCGATGACTTTGTCAGAGCTGATTACGGTACTCAGGGTAGCTATGGTGGAAAAACTGCCAGTGCGAATACTGTACGTCAGATTTAACAATTTTGAACAGACTGAGAATAAGTACACCTTTCATCAGGTTACGAATGTCCCTGTCATTTTCATTCATGGAAATTCGGATGCCGCTTTGTACCTTTCGAAAACGGCTACAGGATGGACTAATTCAATCCAGGTCTTTACGAAATATATGCTTATTTATGAAATATTTAATTTATTCCTAACTTTCCAGTATTTCCTGGGCCAAGGTTACACTCAAGCAGAGCTCTATGCGACTTCATGGGGAGACACAAATGCAAGCAATGCAGTAAAAAGGTAGTCCTAGTGAGACGGTGTAGCTGTTTGTCCAGAGTATTATTTCTTTGCAGGACCCACGATTGCTATGATCTGTTACGTCTTAGACGATTTATCTTGGCAGTACTTGCTTACACTGGAGCGCCTAAGGTATCGCTGATTACACATAGTATGGGTGTGACTTTGGGGAGAAAAGCGATCAAAGGAGGAGCCGTAACAGGAAGTGATGGTAGAATTATTTGACTTATAAGTAGAATTAAAATTACATTGCCAGTAAACAATATAAATTAGTCAGTTACTATATAGTTGTCTAACCTGCCCATTCAAAAATTATGGGTGGAGCTTATATGCCAGCTCAGGTAAACTTTTATGATCACATATTATCGCATATTATTGACTTCAGTTTTTAGGCTTACACTATTATAGCTGGGATTTTAAAACAAGCGTTTTTTTTTTACCAAATTTGTTTTCGCTCATTTTGTTGATGCTTACCATTTTGCAGATTGAATTAATCAACTGTGTCAAACAAAACTAAACCTTATTTTTTCGTAACCGGCATGCTAGCATTCCTCTATGCCCTACTTAGCAGCATGAGCGAAAAGAACCAAACTGATACAGTCGTTGAAATCTTTTGAAAATTCGTGATTGAAAACATCACATTCGCACAAATAACTTAGTGAGATTTATGAATCGTTTATGAATCACTTTTTCTGTGACTGTCATACTCATTCACCTCTGTAGACTAATTTACAGCATTTTAATAAGTAACTCTATACAATTTTGATATCCTTCCAAAAGCTATCACAGTCATGATTGTATATCCTCTTATTCCACATTGCTTTGTAGCAGCAAAAGAATGTAGGAGCCAGTACTAGTAGATACTTTTATGACCTGTCTCCATTCGTCGTGCAGGCCCCAGCATTGTTTCCATCCGTCCGTCCTAGCTAGCGTCATCCACGATGGCGGTATTGAACTGCAATTTGCGACAATTTTCGTTCGCGAGGTCCAGACTCGTTACCAGCGGAGAATTCAGCTGGTCCATCCGTGCAACGAACCCGTCAGCCCATCTGGTCGGTAGTCTCCCTCGAGGACGTTTTGCTTCGCGAGGAATCCATTTCAGTCTTAGTTTCCATCTGTCGTCTGTCCTTCTCTATATGATCAGCCCATCAATGTTTTGCCTTAGAGACGTACCCCGCTGGATCGCGAAGACGGGACACTGATCTCATATCTGAACTGCGAAGTCCGACGAGATGTTGAGTGCTCGGTTGTACTTCAGAAGACGTTGTCCCAGCGCTCTGTGGGTTGTTCGGAGTGTTTCCGACGTAGCCACAGTGTCAGGCCACGTCTCTGCTGCGTAA